AACTACAGAAAAGCCACAAAAAATATTAAACAATACCGCACATTAGGAAGACGAATGATGCTGAACTGTGCACGGGTTAAGCTGAGTCAAGTCACACTCGTTTAGTTTACTTTAGTAAACGAAAAAATACAAGAAAAAATACATTTAAAATGCATCCCCATACCCATACCGTGGGCTGTGGTGGGAAGGGTTACAAAAACCCCTTAATGGGTTCAGGAACTGAACCTCACAGTTCATTTAGCTACGCAAGTAACAGTCTTCTGAAGAGAGTTACAAAGTTTCTAATATACATATATGTTCAAATAAATACATACATACAAACACATGCAAATGCATATACATATATAAATTGTCTTTTCTATAAAATGTGGTTCAAGAAGTGGCTTACAACAGTCCCTATAAACATCAATAAAGATCTGCAGTTAGTTACAAATTTACTAATTTTGCTCCATACACCCACCCAACTGGGCGGCAGTAAGTATAGGCAGCATTCATTACTTACAGGAAGCAAACTTTGGATACTTGACTATGATTTCAACTTGCACATCATTATGAATGAAGTGCTTACACATTTCTTCAACACCATAGACAAAGTTATTTCTGAACTCCGCGATTTTTTTCGCATTCGATTTTATGCGCATAAAGTGACGCAAAGTATGTGAATAGTTCTGTTGACAGAGTTTACATTTAGTCGAGTCTACGAAAGCAGGTGATGCACACTCCCAGAGGTACTTGTATTCAAGTCTAATCCTAGCATGAGTAACGTCTAGAAGTCTGCTAAGCTTATTGAATGATCATAGATCGTAGGTTGTTGTTCTTAATGCACAGTGCAATTTCGAGATGTGCTACACATGCGGACGGACGAGTATATACACAGAGATGTTTGCCTCATTTCTCGGGGAATATAAATTCAAGAGTTTTCTTTCTGGATTACATTCAGGACTAAAATGCAATTCCGTTTATACAAGGTCAGTAAGTTATTAAGGAGGCCATACTAATCCTTCCTTGGTTGATAGGTCATAAGCCCAACAAGAAATTACAGAAGCTTGGGGAAACACCTCTTGATATGAAGCATAGAAGGGACGTCAGACCCATAGAGATTTCAAACGTTGAATCCGCGTCCCATCATCATCGCCAGCCCAGAGAAAATGTGGTTAAATTGCAACACGCAAAGCGGAGCATATATGTTGTTCAGACTCTCACATGTATTGCTGGTTATTCATATCGCATCTGCGTCTCACGAACCCTATGATGCAGCATGCTCGTCTTGAGGGCTAGATGCTCCCTCAGATGTGTAGTAAAAGCCGAAGGTTGAAAAATAAAAGTTACGATGATTCTTTTATATTCATAATTTAGGTGTTTGAAATCACGTAAAACAGCTGAAAAAATGCTGATATGGAGCACTTAACATGGTCTGGACAGGACGAAGCCTCGCACAATATACTTGTTAAATTAAACGAAGTTTAGATTAATGCCGAGGACATATTTAGGCCTCTATAGATATCTGAAAAAAATTTTACCAAAGCTGATAAATGCATTAGATAACAATACTACAATAGGTATTTCTTTAATCTCTTCCCACGTGTGTTGAAGCGCCGGCGAGCTGCGCTAACACGGCGAGTGGCCGTAACTATGAGACTGGTGTAGCCAGTGTTGATGGAGGGAGGGAGGGAGAAGGATGGATGGCCCGCCCTAACACCCATCCTGCCACTACCACCATATTCCCTCTTTTTAACTCGTAGTTTTCCCCATACATATTTTTGTCTTGGAGAAGCGATTATTTTGGGTTCGATAATACTATCTGCGATGTCGAATATCTGGAATGATAGTTTAACAGAGGCGTATAGCGTCATTTTAGTTTAATAATGGTGAAGGGAGAGTCTGGGCATCAGCTCATGCCCACATTGCCAACACACCCACCACCTCCATCCTCTCTCTTCTGGCAAGGTTTGAATATATTAAAATTTACCTTAATATTATGTAAACTCATATAGCATGTAGAGAATGCATAGCGTTGCTCTGTTGTTGCAGAATGAAGAACAGAGACATACTAATAAAAATATAAATTATTAGCTTTGCTGGGTTTCGGTAAGCATTGCATTCACTAACTTCATGCGTCATGAAGCGCATTTATCATATACAATTTTAAGACAGCATCCTGGAAAGAGGTTTCTGCTTATCATAAAGAAATTTACTGCCTCGAAGACTGTGTGGAAGTATTTCCCTTCCAAATACAAAAAAAAATCATCTTGGCAGGAGCGTAGCCCAAGCTTGGCTCCTCCCCTTGACCCTCACGCTCTCGACTAGTGGCGCCGCTCTGGTGGCTGACGTTAAAACGAACGATGTATAATTCGGTGTATATTTCAGCAGCATAAAAATAATATGACGAAATTCTTTAAGTATAAGAAAGAATAAACGAAAACAATGCACTGAAATTTAAGTTAACACAGTTTCCAGGACTTAACTTGCGCGAGAGCTGCTGGCGAAGTTAAGGCGCCTTGTGAGTGGCGGCAACTGCCCGGGTCGCGAGCCAAGTTACAAGTACGGGTGGTAGCGTGGTCCAGCGGTTAGTTTATATCTCGAACTGTCGGAGGGAGGATGTACCACTTCACTCCCGTGGTCACTCGTGAACTCTGCTGACATGACCGAGATGTGCTAGCACAAAACCTTATACACGAACTTTAGTGCACTTTTGGTACCCATCACCCACCACGAAAATGAAGTTTACTGTGGCATTATTCGTGTTTGCAATTGTTTTTGTAGCACGTTCCATGGCATTTGTTTACAATGCTCCCGAAAACTGTGACTGGAGATTGCGTGACTCTGAACGTGAGGAAGTGGCTCTGTCCTGCAGTTTGCGGACCATTGGAAGTGACTTTTCCGGTAGCAACTTTACGATTTCTCAAAGTGAACATATTTCTGAGCTGGAAATTCTCTGCAGTGATGTGTTATTCTTCCAGTCCTCCCTCCAGCCTCGTGTGTTCCAGCGCCTCTACAACTTGGACACAATCGTCATCGAGTTCTGCAAGCTGACGAGTCTACCTCCTGGAGCTTTCTTGGGTTTGGATGCCATGAAGCGACTAACAGTGAGGACCCACAACAGTGACTGGAGCGCCATGGCTCTGGAACTGACTCCTGACAGTCTGGTCGGTATGCCTCATCTGGAACGCCTCGACTTGGGTCAAAACAATATATGGAACTTGCCCGAGCGTGTGTTTTGCCCCTTGCCTGCCCTGCGGCACCTTAACCTGACTTGGAATCGCCTGCAGGATGTGTCTGAGGTAGGCGTGACAGGAAGCTGCGGGGCCCACCTGGTCACCCTCGACCTGTCTGGCAACGACTTGGTTGTGCTGCCCGAGTCAGGCCTAGCGGGGCTACAGTCCCTCCGAGAGTTATATTTGCAGTACAACGACGTATCCATGTTGGCTGATGGCGCTTTCCTGGGGCTCACCGCGCTTAATGTGCTCAACATCTCCAGCAACCGCTTGGTGGCGCTCCCACCGGAGGTGTTCAATGAAACTCTGGGCCTGACGGAGCTCTATATGCAGAATAATAGTGTGAGCGTGTTAGCTCCGGGGCTCTTCTCGGCGCTCAGTCAGCTGACCGTTTTAGATATGTCGCACAACCAGCTCACATCGGAATGGGTGACAGCGGACACCTTCCGCGGCCTCCTGAGGCTGGTGGTGCTCAATCTCAGCCACAACCGCCTCACTCAGGTTACCCTCGACATGTTCCGCGACTTGTCCACGCTGCAGGTACTCGAGCTGAGCCACAACGACTTGACGGTGGTGAGTGACATGACTTTCTCTCCTCTAGCCAATCTTCACCGATTGGACTTGAGCTACAACCATTTGCTAGCTGTAGAGACACGTAGCCTCTCGGGGCTGCACGTGCTGTCATCTCTCTCTGTGTCCCATAACAACATCTCAAGGATCGCCTCCGAGGCGTTCGACAACTGTACCAACCTTCGTGACATCCGTCTCGAGTACAACGTCCTTCGGGAGATCCCAGAGGCCGTGCGTGAGGCGGTTTCTTTGCGAACTCTCAGGATCAGCCACAACCAACTCTCCAGTGTGTTGCAGGATGACCTTACCAGCCTCTCGGCTCTCCGGCATCTTGACCTGTCAAATAACCTGCTGCGAGGGTTGTGCAAGAGCTGTCTTGCTGGCCTCGCAGACCTTGAAGTCTTGGATCTTTCCCGGAACGAGCTGGGGTCAGTGCCACACGGGGTCTTCGACACCAACACTGGACTCAAGTTACTGCGTATGGACGGCAACAAGATGAGTGATATTAACGGATTGTTCGCATCTCTCCCAAATTTACTGTGGCTCAATGTGTCTGACAACAGAATTACTTGGTTCGATTATGCTCTCATTCCTAATCAGCTCCAGTATCTCGACCTTCACAACAACAGAATTGGTGATTTAGGAAATTATTTCAGTATTGAGAGTAAGTTAGAACTTCGTACCCTTGACGCAAGTCATAATCAATTAGAAACTCTGACAGGTGCTTCCGTGCCGAACAGTGTTGAACTTCTATTTGTGAATAGCAACAGAATTACACGCATCGGTGCTGGAACATTCTCCGAGAAGCATAACTTGTCTATGGTGGATTTATTTGACAACCTTCTCAGCAAACTTGACCTAAATTCAATCAGCCTTCCCCCAGTTGCCGAGGACCGTGACCTTCCCGAGTTCTACATCGGTGGGAACCCCATCTTCTGTGACTGCAACATGGAGTGGATGCACCGCGTTCACCAGATCAGTGGGTTGAGACAACACCCTCGTGTTATGGACCTTGACAAGGTGATTTGCACGCTTCCTTACCCGCGATCTGAGGAGAATCGAATCTCATTTTTGGAGACACAACCCTCCCAGTTCCTCTGCCCCTACACGTCTCACTGCTTCGCTCTTTGTCAGTGCTGTGATTTCATCGCTTGTGACTGTCAGATGACGTGCCCTCAAGGCTGTTCCTGCTACCACGACGAGACGTGGGCGACCAACATCGTCGACTGCTCTGCCAGAAATCACCACCACCTTCCCGACGATATTCCAATGGATGCTACTGTCGTGTTTATGGACAACAACGAGATGCCCGTTCTCGATGCCCACCAGCTCATCGGCCGTAAGAACATGATGGCGCTCTATCTCAACAGCTCCCGAATTGAAAGAATCCAGAATAGAACATTTCATGGTCTGTCATCCCTCAAACAGCTTCACCTTCATGACAATATTCTGGTCGAACTCGAGGGTTTCGAGTTTGAGCATCTCGAACATCTCCGTGAGCTCTATCTTCAAAACAATCGTCTGAAAGTGATCAACAATGCAACTTTTGCAGGCTTGAAATCGCTTGAATTCCTCAGACTGGATGGAAACTTTCTGTTTGATTTTCCTGTTTGGCACTTGAAGCTCAACAAGGGCTTGAAGGACGTGACCCTTGGTGTCAACCTGTGGTCGTGCCAGTGCCAGTACATGGTAGACTTCAAGAACTGGCTCATCCGGGAAACTGACGTTGTGAAGGATGCAAAGACAATATTTTGTGTGTCTAATTCTTCAGGAGATCCTGGTCCCTATGTTCTCGAGAGCTCCTACTCCTGTGAGAATTTCGTAGCGACATCCATTGTGCAGGAGAAGCTAGAGAACGACTTCCTGCAGCCTGTTCTGATCACCTTGGGTATCTTCTTCGTCGTGCTGGTGCTCGGCGTGGTGTTCGCTGTGTTCAGAGTGCGCCTGCAAGCCAGCGTGTCAAAGAAATGTGGCTTGAAGTGCTTCCCATCCCAGCCTGCACCAGCCAAGGAGGAAGACAGGAACATGATCTATGATGCCTTCGTCAGCTATAGTGAAGTGGACGCTCCCTTTGTGACGGAAGTGTTTGCCTCGGAACTTGAGAACGGTGACACTTCCTATAAATTGTGCCTTGCCTCAAGAGACTATCAAACCGTTGGAACATATGTGGGGGATTTTATTGTTCATTCGATAGAGTCGAGTCAAAAGATCATTCTAGTCCTTACTAAAAACTTTGTCGATCATGACTGGTGTAAATTTTCCTTCAAGGCAGCTCATTTAGAGGCATTGAAAAATGTAAAAAATCGCGTGATTATCGTAATGTGTGGTGAAGTGAGCGAGAGTGATATGGACTCCGATCTCGCAGCCATTGTGAAAAGTGCCACTAAACTGAAGTACGAGGACAAGTCCTTCTGGAGTAAGCTCCACGCAGCTTTACCGGGAGGGGCCAACAAGAACCAGCAGTGCTTCATCACCGACACTAACTACATAATGAGGAACAGCGTGTCGGCGCTAACCCCGTCCAACACCCTCACAAAGCAGAGTCAGCTGGTGCCCAACATGGTGCTGACCAACTCTGTCAAGACCCCTGTCTCACACTACCACCAGCAGCATCACCACTACCATCACCAACAGCCGTCCATAAACAGTGACCCAGGCGAGCTCGACAAGACCTTCGTCAGTGTGGAGACGGCCCAGTCCAGCCTCGCCCCTAGTCTTAACCACTCTTACATGTCCATCGACTACGCCGCCGCCCGCAACTCTCACATCTATGCCTCTATTGACGAGACAACGCCGGCGCTGCCACCGTCCACGCTGCCGTCGGTACATAATCTCCACCACCACCTCCGCCAGCAGCAGCAACAACTGGAGCGACGCCAGTACCTCCCACAGGAGTTACACTGTAGTAGTCAACAACGACGGCCCCTCTCCGGCACCACGTTACAGACATTCGACCAGCCAGCAGTCAGTGCGTCCTATTTCATATAACTATGTGTTAAAAATCTTTGAGAGAACAAAATATATATCTATATGTATATATATATATCTTATTACTGTTAAGGTTCGTGCGAGAGACCCCTTGTTGACTGCGGTTGCTTGAGGACAAGGTGAAGAGGAGTGTAGACGAGTCAAGAGAAAGTGAGAGAGAGCGCGTCATATGTTTGTGTCTAGTCAACACTTGTGTGAGAGGTGGTCTAGTGCCTTCACAATACGGCCTTTGTTGTAGCGACGTGGCTGACTTTGCTGTAGCTTGTGTAGCGCGCTCTTTACCCAATTTGCTGTCTTACCTGTACATAATGTAATATAAATGATTTTATGTATAAATCGTGATATCTATGGCCAAAGTGTGATAATATTAGCTGTTACATTGAGCTCAAGTCATGAGTAATAACGGGTATTTTTATAAAATCAAATAATTACAAAAAATAAAAGGATGATTTGTTATATATGTCTATTTTTACGACCTTGAATTAAAATGAATGTTTCTAACACATGTTCAGAGGATGAGTGGCGCTGCCCAATAAACTCGCCCCTCGGGGCAAAATTTAAACAATGTTTATATGAATTGTGAAGGAACAACTAAAACTATTTAACATGTTATAAAGTGCCTAAACATCCTAGTATTCAAAAAATTAAGATGATGTAAAACATATATCACCTAAAAAATGTCTAAATATATGCAGGAAAAATCTTAAAAATATATATACTTGGCTGAGATTTATCGATTTTTGTAATTAAAATTTGAATTCCTTTCAGCAGCGTAAATTTTATAACATAAATAGAGAGGGAAGTCTTAAGAATGCTGTTCATCAGAGGGAAAAATATGAAAGAAAATTGTTACCTTAAAATAACTGAAATGCTGGAATTTATTTAACATACTGGAAACCACGTAAATGGCACAACCTTCAAATGTCAATTGAATCTTAATGTCTTGCATAAACTAAAGCCAAGAAGTTCAGCAGAAAAGAGAGAGAGAAAAACTGCTCTGAAAAGCTACTAAAATATGCACAATTAAAACTTAGATACCTATCTGTATGTTGAAAATAGCCAATTATAGCCTAACAAAACATTAATGAATGCAGTACGAAAATAACATGAAACATGTACATAAATGTATGGCGGTCGTTTGAAGGTAATTTAAAAAGAAAATTATACCTTTTAAAAATACAAACTGGGACCTCTGGGACATGTAGAGTGGGAGGAAAATATACAAACCGCGGGACACCTATTGAACTCTCAGTGTGGCCGCCCCCTATCCCGTCCGACCTTCTCTCAGAGAGGCGCTATCCCCCTACATTCCCCCGCCACATCCCTCGTCCTCTGGGACTTGCTTTCCCCACCATCTAGGACACACGCTACCCGTAGCCTCTGTGATTCCATATTCCCCACCATCTAGAATGCCTGATACCATCCCTATCCTCTCGTCCTCTACATCCTTTAATTTCTAGAATGCAAGCCACTAAGCTCCTATCCTCTGGCATGCCATGTTCCACACCATCTAGGATGCACGCAACACCCCCCCATCCTTATCCTCTGGGACACCATAACTCACCTTTTGGAACGCTCCTTCCACCATCCTATGAGACATCCCTACTCCCTGGTACATCATATTTATTACCCTTTTGGACGTCACAGATCACATCTATGGGACTTCACTACCCACATCATCTACATAGATATGACCACACCCTCTGCAAACCACATCCTCTGGGACATCCCCCGCCCTCTGGGACATCATTACCAACGCCATCTGGGACGCCATTACCAGAGGTTAGAGGGGGGTACCTCTAACCTCCTCTAGTACAACAACCATCGCTGCTGTCTCCGCTGGTGTCTGGGACATCAGTAGAAAATCCTCACAAAGAAATTGCTAACGTGATCACCAATGCCACCCCCCCTAGCCAACACTTCCCAGTGGAGCCCCGCCGCCTCGACCCACAACCACTGGGATAACCAGTCACCCCCACTCCCCACCCACGACCACGCCACCACCATTATCCTCATGTATGGGACATTACCGCTAACACCGGCTACTCCCTCACTACATCTTTCTCCTCTGCTCGCTCTGTGTCTGTCTGTCTGTTGTTCTTGTCTGTTGTTCTTTCTGTTTCTGTTGTTCTGTCTTCTCTCTCTCTCTCTCTCTCTCTCTTCCTCTCTCTCTCTCCTCTTCTCTCCTCTCTCTCCCTATCTCTCTCTCTCTCTCCTTCTTCTCTCTCTCTCTCTCTCTTCTCTCTTTCTCCCTCCCTCCCTCCACCCCCCCCTGTTTGAACTTTATTACCCTCCCTCTCACAGTCATAACTCTGACATTTATCGCTTCCTTCTATCTCTCTTCGAGATGCCAGCCCTTCCGTCTCCCTCCCCTTCCATACCTCCTTTCCACCCTGGGACACTTCATCCACTTTTGGAATTACATTTTTTCCTCCTTTTCCCTCTGGAATATTTACTCCAGCTGCCCCTCCAATTTCGGACACGTTATAGACCGCCTCCACCACTCCACTCTGAAGTGTCACTGACTCTATGCTATAACACGCTCTACATCCACACCCCCCATCCACCTCCCTCACTTTAATTTTAAAACACGTATCTCAGTCTGAGACACACTTCATCCACCCACTACACACTCCACCCTCTCAACACCACTACAGAAATACCAACTGCCCGCCGCTTGTTCTCTGGGGCATCGGTATTGTTCTCCCCCGGCCGGCCTGCCTGAGGGCATTCGCTATGTAGTCTTCCCACGTCCGTAACACTAGTTACGGCTGCTCGATTCGGAAGCTGAGGCCATGACACATTGTTTAGTCTTTGAGGCGTTTGTTGTCTCCAGCCAACCTGCCCTATCTCCCCACCCTCCCTCGGACCCTCCTACCCTTCTTCCTTTCCTTCCTCCGTCCCTCCCCTTCCTCCCTCCCTCTAACCACCCAATCGTTCCTTCCTTCTCTATCCCCGCAGAATTATTTTCCTTGTTTGGTCATTTAGTGACATATCAGTCTCGTGTCTCGTAAATGTCTATTCTCCGTCCTACCATGTCCAGGCTAGGGGGACACTGGACCGAGTTAGTGTCGTCTAGGCTAAGGGGGATCTCTCATAGACTCCTCCATGCCTCATATATTATTCACTCGCAATCCTCTCTGTTATTCATGTCACCCCCGCTAAAGCATCGAGGTATCATTATTTTCGCATCTCTATGCCCTTTGGTCCCTAGGCGGGAGCAAAGAGCCACAGCTCATCCCACGCAAGCACAACTAGGTGAGTACTTTCTAACCTCCATATCTTTCCTCTCTCTCAGTTCAGGTTCAAGTATGTTTATTGTGTCAAAGGGATAGACTAGCTTAGGCTATTTCTATCCCCTTCTACTTCAAGTCCCTCAAGGGGCGCACAATTTCAGTGAGTACAAATCAAATCACAATACAAGAATCTCTCTCTCTCTCTTAGTCCTTTCTACTATTCCCCTCGCACTCCCCCTTTCTTTCTCGGTCATACTCTGCCCTCTTACTTAATTTTTAATTATTTCTAACTTATGTAATTGTATTTCTCTCTCTCTCTCTCTCTCCTCCTCCTCTCTCTCTCTCTCTCTTCTCTCCTCTTCTCTCTCCCTCTCTCTCTCCTCTCTCTCTCTCTCCTCTCTTCTCTCTTCCCCTCTCCCTCTCTCTCTTCTTCGTCAAACATGAACGCAGCTTCGCTATCATTTTATACGATTTGTCAATTTTGTGCACCACTTCGTCAATTTAGTACACCATTTCGCTAAATCTGCACACAAATTTCCTTTATAGGTTAATTTTATCTGTTTTAATAATACAAGTAATACAAGCAAATTAACTACAATGTGTGCCCGAGGAAAGGATATTTTGTAAATTTACGTATATTTTTGTATACTAATGTATATTTTGAAATATACAATAATTTCATCAAGTAACAAAGCATTATACACTATTGTTATTTCTTGGAGGTTTTACCCAGCGTTGATCGGAGGTTATGATTGGCCACATCTCCATCACTGTAACCATCTTTAACACACAATCATCATCACTGTATCCATGAACACTACACACAATCTTCATCACTGTAATCATCTTAACTTTCAATACTGTAAATCATTTACACTACACTACGCATTCTCATCCTCATCACTGTAAGCTTTTCCACTTTTGGGGGAATGCAAGTTATCCAATCTACAGCTATCATCATCCCTACCTACCCTCTTATCACCACCTTACCTCTCCTTACACACCCTCCCCCTTCATCACCTTCTATACCCTTCACTATCTTTCCTTCACTTCGCACCCTTCCCTATATTTCAATACCTTCCCTACCTTTCACTACTTTCCTTACGATTCACACCTTCCTTACCTTGCACATTCTACCTTACCCTTCACCACCTTCCCTCTACTTCACTACTTCCTCTACCCTTCTCTACCTTCCCTACCCTTCACCACCTTCCCTACCCCATCCCCCATCTTCCCTCCTCCTCTTCACCCCCCTTTCCTTCCCTTTATCACTGTAGATAACGTCATCTTCAATATACTTTGCCTTGAGCAACGAATAAACTATATTAGAGAAGCAAACGTCCAACCATGACGGGCAAATATGACTGTTGAATCTTAGCGACGACGAAGTCTAGTATTTAGCGAGATTGGAAATTGGTATTATTTGTCATTTCATGCAAAGGGAAGTCACGGGAGGGTCGCTTGAAGATATGAGAGCTATACCGCACACGCACACACACACACACACACACACACACACACACAACACACACACACACACACACACACACACACACACACACCACACACACACCCACACACACAACACACACACAACACACACACACACACAAAAAATGTGGTGTGTGGTGTGGGAAAAAAAAGAAAAAAAAAAAAAAAAAAAAAAAAAGTAGTTAGTAAACAGTTGATTGACAGTTGAGAGGGCGGGCCGAAAGAGCAAAGCTCAACCCACGTAAAAACACAACTAGTAAACACACACACACACACACACCCACACACATATATATATATATATATATATATATATATATATATATATATATATATATATATATATATATATATATACATACATATCTATATATATACTATATATATATATATATATATATATATATATATATATATATATATATATATATATATTATATATATATATAATATATATATATATATATATATATATATATATATATATATATATATATATATATTAATGTTAACATAAATCAATATAACCTTCTACATAGCATTAAAACCTCAAAACCTCACTGAGAAAGAGCTGAACAATTAATCTACATCACAGCTATTTATCGTTGATTGACAAGCGAATTAAGGCTTAAATTTCAAAATAATTCAAGGCAATTTCAAAATAATTAGAAATACCAACACGCGCCGTCAGTCCAGTGAACGAAATCTTTCTATCAGCACAGAGTTACT